TAAGTAGTTCCTCTGACAGTTTTTCTGAAGATTCCACTGCACCGAAACTTCCTAGTACAGAAGCAAACTTTGAAATAATAAGTGTTGATAAGAAGTCACTTGCACATGACATTCTCTGACTTTCATACTCTTGGTATAGTCTATCTACAACATCCTTGTTGGACTTTCTTATAAAACTTGCGGACTTCTCTATTACTCCATCCCTCGATAGCTCTATAAGCTTGTCTCTTTTATGTTCAGTTTGCGACTTATCTGTGGTGGACTTAGTTTTTCTTGCTTTTTTCCGCGGCACCTTTGCGGCCTCCTCTACTTCTCTCACAGCCTCAAATATTTCTTCCTCAGATTCAGTTCCCATCATCTATATTTTACGCGGTGTTTAGTTTAACAGTGTATGTGTAAGGGTGAATAAGTAGTACGTCCAGTGCGGTGAACTTCTCATCTTTTAATATCTTCGTAATCTCTGTAATTGTCTCCTGAGGAACACCACTTAGGTAATCATCTGTTATCACCTTCATATCTCTGCGACTAGGGTTGTAAAATGTAACTAGCCTGGAAATGTTCTCCCTGAATGGTTTTGCTACTGATGACAATTGTTGGGTAATTACAATGACAGATAAGTTGTAATGTCTTGCGGAGAATGCTAAGCGCACCAGTTCTGAGACTCTTTTCTTTACATCTTGACTTGCCGCACAATCGTCCACTATGATGAGAGTTTGAGTACCGCGGAATATGGTGGACACTGCCTTGAGAACTAGATCGATCATTTCTTGTGAGCATGGAATTTGTATAACTCCGTGATCACTAATATGAGTCCAATTAATGTAAGTCATATTCCACTCTATGGTTGGACATATAATAACAATGTAATCGAAAACTCTATTGTACTCTGTTTCTAACATATTAAGTAGGAACCGAGTCTTTCCACTTCCAGTCATTCCTACTATGAGCATGTTGAATGGTTGCATCTCTATGCTTTACCGTTAGTATTGAATACTTGATAGATCTCTATTGGCAAAGTTAAGGAGAGCATCTGATACAATAAAAATGTTGCATTGAACGTCAGCCGTTGTGGCTCTCTTTTTGATTTCCAGGAGTACTCCCGACTGTGTGTTAACAATCTTCTTACCTCCACCAGTGGTATCATCTTGTGTTGACCTAAGATCGATTACTAGAGCAAAACCATTGCTGAAAAACTTACTGATGGACATAAATTCGTCCGCCATGGATTTCTCACACATAGGGCAGAAAAATCTTTTTGCCTCTTCGAAGAACCTATTTTTATGAAGTCCTTGTGAGAAAACTGCATTAGGCACACCTTCAATGGTCAGGTTCACTTTATCAATGTTTGGGTAAATATATTCTTCAGAATCAGTCCTCACTCTATTGGTAAATAGAAGGACAATTGCCGACATGCTCTTCCTGGGGATATTGATGTTCTCATTGACAATGGTAAGATCCTTGTCCCAATTACTCGTACGCATAAGAGTAACGTGTTTGTAGGACAGTGATCGGCCTGTTGAATACAACCTTGATACTTCACTTGCAAGGGTGTCATTCTCAATGGTCTCGTATTCTAACTCAAGATTGTCCAGTTTATAATTACCCTTAGCTTCACCTCCCTGGGCGGTCATAATTTCATCTGATTGGGGGAGTGTGAGGATGTACATAGGATTTTTATTCATGGAGAACGGTGTGTAGAGTCCGTGGTCTGCAATTATTTTATCAATTGGTTTTCTAAGCTTAGAACCGTACACACTGTGGAGAAGTCCATCTGCTACTTTACCGGCATCACCTACTTTTACTCCTGAGTCATCACCTGATATTAACTTCCTGAGATTCTCACTTGCAAGACCCTGTTCAGTCATCTTATTTCTGTCGCCTAGTGTTAGCCATAGATCTTTGTATATTTTGTACAAACTCTCTCCTGAACAGTCATAAGCTGTTTCACCTGCTACTTTAATCTGAAGACGTTTAGCTATCAACTTAGCTAGGTTATTATTAAATCGGCTCTTTGTATTGGAATTTTTGAAGTCAAATAGTAGTGCAAGCGATCCTGGAACTAGGCAAGAGTCGGACTTTAGTTTGGGGATGTTAATGTACAGCTCTTCACCTGGACCAATCGTTGTTGGATTAAATGTTACAACGCTTCTAGTTCTCGGTCCCTTTACGGATGTCATATGGCTCCTCCTGAAGCCAGGTTGGAGTTCTCTTTCTGTGGTATTCATACTTTTATACAATATGTAATGTTTAGCGTTGTAAGTAGTCGTACGTAAGTAATGCAGCCGCTATAGCTAGAACCCATAAGTTTGATGCTAGCCAGGTAATTCCTTTAGCACCCCATGATAGAGCTGTTGCAAGAGCATTCAGGACTGGTATAAGAATTGGAGCACCTTTCCTTGCTAAGTTTGCTAGTGCCTTTGCTACTTTACCAGTTGCCTTTGCTGCTCCAATAATTGCACCCCTAGTCCCAACTATTAAGGTTGTAATTAGAGCTGCTGTTGACACTGCTATTCCTGTGAGACTGACTTTATTCTCCCCTAACCAGTCCTTAAATCTTTTAAATCTTGAAATGTCTTCAACTTGTTTAAATCTTACTTCCTCCAACTCTCTTTGGAATGCAGTTTTATCCCTAGCTTTCCTCAGGGCTTCTACTCTACTGTCCAGTCTTCTGTACTCCTCAATATCATCCGCTTGATCTCTCATCTCAATGGTTTCATAAATGGTTTCATTAAAGTGGTCAACCTGTTTCTGAAGTGCACCATTCTCTCCTATACGTGAACTCCATAGCACACTCTCCTTCGGTTTAATAACTCCTCTTAGTTCCCTATTCTCTTCTTGTGTAAGACCTGAAATGTCAGTGTCAGTTTGTTGTTCAATATTAACAAGTTCTATGTTCTCAAATTCACTTACTTCAGAGATAAAGCTATTTTGACCAGATACTTCATTTATATCCACAGCTTGCTCTGGTTCTGTGTCTGTAGTCTGGTCATGCTTGATTTTCCTTATCAGTTCCCTATATTCTCTCAATGCAGGTGAATTCTTGGAGTACACAGGTATACTGGTCTTACCACGTTTCATTATTTGTGTCCCACTCCCGTCAATACCTTTCTCACTTTTAAACATTAATACCTCTATGCCATCACTAAGTGTTCTAACAGATGACCGCTTTATAAGTTCTCTAACGTTTCTGTTCCTTGGGTTGAGGTTTATTTTCTCCTTAGCTTGAATAACTCTTGTGACAGCTTGAACACGTTCTACCTGGTTTTCAAAGTCTCTTTTCTTCTGTGCTGTAAGCCGGTCTTTTGAGAACTTTTTTAGTTTATTCAAACGTCTCTCTATGTCTTGCCATTCTGTGTCAAATGAATCATCAAATGCATCTAGTACATCTGGAAGTAAATCGTCTACTTCTTTCACAAAATCTACCCCTTGAACGTTTGTGGTTCCTGATGGACCTGAAATGTTTACTGTACCATCATTACCCTCAGTGAAGGTTGTTTCTGTGATATCACGTTTCTCCATTAGGTTCTTCACATATCTGAGTTCATTGTTAAGGTTGGTGATTTCCAGTGGGTTCGTACTGTTACTTACTGCTATATCTACCCTACTCATTAGTTCATCAAAGTTTAGCTGTAGGTCGTCATAATTCATGTCATCATATTGAGGATACGTTTTTTCTGTCTCCTCTAACTCAATGTCATTTAAGTCCTCCATAATACTTTAACTTATGTTAGGGACTTGATGTCTCCAGCTGGTATCCAACTGTTAAATTTGTCATCATAACCTAACCACTTAATGAGAGCCATCTTTTTACCCTTCACTGTTCTTCTCCTTAGTACTTTCTCTATTCTGAAATCAGGTTCTCTTCCTTCAGCGCTGTACAGTTCTTGTTCATAGAATCTGCCAATTATTGGTTCATCAGCACTGTCTTTTATTGTGTATGTGTTTGGATGACCGTGATACACTTCCGTCACAGTGAACAACTCCTCTGTGAAGTTTGCTTCGTACCCTTTTGTGAACACTGATTTATACTTTGAAATTCTGACACTTTCTCCGACAGCAAACTTTGGTTCTGACGGCTTGCCTAAATTGTGACTAAAAAGTGTCTTCCATACTTCAGTCCAGTTGGACTCATTTACACTGTCTGGTGTTGTTTTAATTGATCTGTTCACTGAACTGTTGTAATTATCAGTTAAGTCTTGAAGGACGTCTAACCATTTATATGTACTGGCACTGTAAAAGTACTTCCACATTAGCGCCTTCAGTGTTCTGTTAAATCTTTCCACAACTGCGGCCTTTTTGTCTGAGTAAGTAGAGAAAAACTCGATGTTATGTTTATTAAGCAATGACTTTACTTCTTTGTTGTAGAACTCTGTGCCTTGATCAAACTGAGCGAATTTTGGGTATTTACCAAAACGATTATTAAATTGCTCTAAAATGTTACTGACTGCGTCCTTCATTGATGTCGCGTTTTTCCTATACACTGGTACTGTGAATGCGTACCTACTCAGTATTTCGATTGATGTGAGAATCCAGCGGTATCCCTTGTTCTTGTCGTCATATTTTGTCATGTCGACTAAATCCATTTGTAACTGTTCACCTAAAGTTTGGACGTACGTCTGTCTGAACTTATGTTTCCTAAATACTTGTCTGTACCTAGTGTATGTGTCCTGCTCATTTATCCATTTCTTGACCTGGTTTCTGGTTACTTTAAGTCTGTCTGATATTGCTCTAAGATATAGTTTCTCCGGTGTTTGGAATCCAGTCTTAGGATTGTAGTAAATATCTCGTAGTCCCTGTTCTTTTATAATATCATCGTCCATCTTATATTAACCAATGTAAGCTAACTACTCAAGGTACATCTCGATAAGCACTTCACCTATATCAGTAGGTTTCCCGTCTTGATCTGTCATGTGGAATACAAGTTCTGAGAAAGAACCCTTAATAACTGAAATCCTGCTTTCAACATCAATGTAACTAACTACTGAGCCTAATAATGGTCTGTCAGTTGGAACTGTAACACTTGTTATTACATCGCTGGGTCTTCCCCAAGGGTTAACGTTAAAACTGCTACTAACTAGATTGCAGTGTATATTTACACATCGTAGACCGTTATTGAAGTCAACTTTGCTATCACTTGTCAAACTCCTCCCTTTTAGTAGAATCATAGGATTAAAAAATCTATTAAAACCTAACATGGTCAGTAATCGTGTTTCTATTGTGATATCTTGTTTTACTGCTTCTATTTGGCATCCTGCTGTTTCAGTAAAGTAGGTTAGCTTAACACCGTGTCTTTCAAGTAACTTCTTCATACTGTCAAATGTGTAGTAACCTTTATTAACAATTACATCAGATTCTCCATCATCTGTTTTCACTTTGAGAATAGTTGTTGGTTCCCTTATGTTGAAGTACTCCCAGAAAACTGATACTCTCTTCACAAAGACTGATTTATAGTTGCTTGTTAGAACTGAGTTATGTAGTGATACGATAGTGTGTGAGCCCTGGAGTAAAATTGTGAACTTCATCTTAATAACATACGTTAGGTTATTAAGAATGAGACTAGGTGGAGGACAAGTTGGTAAGTCTCCGTATTGGTCGTATCAGGACTATGAAAAAAAGTATGGAAACGAGGACGATGAAGATCATGTTGATCCTGTTGCTGGTAAAAATGCAGAGAATGCTGAGAGGGCTAGATTCCTGGTAAGTTATCCTTTTGCAGATATGAGAAGATTTAAATTTGAAGCTATGACTACAAGTAGTGGTGATATTGGTGTTGTTACATGGTTTGTGGATTTAGATGGTATATCTTCATATGATATTAGATATGACGGCTTTAAAAAGGATAATGAGTTCACATCTTATCTCACATCAATGAAACCTAAGGTAGTGGTGGCACCTCCACTGAAACCAAAAGGATGGCCACATCTTTGGAATAGTAATGGTACCGTTCAGGAATATAAACCTCTTGTCTTTCCAAAGGATCCTATTTACGATGAGAGAAAGTTGGGTCTCAGTCGAGTTCTGATTCATGATGACGGCTATCATATTAATACATATCGACCTCCTGTAAGTCTTCCCTACAACTTTAACAACTTTAAGATCTATGTAAATGAAAATAGTTATTTCATGTCTAACTTCCCCGATGCTGGTGTAGGTTGGGATGAAGGTCCTAATTTAACTAATAAGGATGTAAGAAAAGTTCCCTTTAATACAATACCATACACTAGAATGTTATCTGGCGCCTACATAGCTAGCTATCTCAGTGGTGTATCCTTAGAACATGTTCGTGAAAGTAATTCCGTTCCTAAAATAATAACATCCATTATGAGGTACCATCTTTACTACACAACTAGAAAGTTAACAGTTAGTAAGGATGCTATTGATAAACTTAATGTCAACCTTGACATTGTAAGAAAACACATTCCAATAAGTCAAAATTGTATTATTGACGGAAATGGTGCTACAACTAGTGCAGGACCTTTGTCTGGCAGTGATTACCTTTCATTCATAGCTGAAAAAAGTAATGGCTTTACTAAGTTGGGTGTTGAGCTTATCCAGGAAAGTATTGAGTCCTATGTATATGCTATGTTGGGATCTCAAGCTAATACACGGTGGTCAATAGAAGGAAGCGGTCCGAAGGCTCTTCAAACGCAACGTGACTTTAGAACTATTGTGAAGTCTACTATTTTACAAAGTAATACGGTAACAACAATTAGCAATATGAGGAAAGCTGTGAGGGACACCAATGTGATTCTAAACACTGCTTTATCCCCTGGAATAGTTCTAATCCCATCGAACTTTATTATTCTTAAAACTCCGATTCTCGGTTATAATAACCTTCTAAAGACGGCAACTAATGCAATGAAATTTGGTGTGAATCCTAAGGTAAATTATGTGGGTGTTAAGCAAGTTGATCCTCCAAAGAAACAGCATCAAGATAGCATACCAGTTCACCACCTTGATACTCTTAGTGGAAACGTGAAAGTTCCGGGGAGTCCTGTAAGTGTTACATCACAGGTTGTTCCTATCACGAGACGTAAGGTGGTCAGTATACATAAGCCTCAAAGTAATGACGCTCTAGCTGGACTTGGTATTGGGTCTGTTGTCGTGTTTCTACTGTTAAGAATTATTTTGTAAACATTATGTATGTTATAAAAATGGCTCTCTATAAGGGATATATTAAAGGTGTAAATAATATTGATCCAACAACTGGTAGTGTGTTTGATAAGGATGGATTTACCATGAAGGGTGACATTGAGATGGACGGTAATGAGGTAAAGGGTTTAGGTGCACCAACTGATGATACTTCTGCAGTCACAAAAAAGTGGGTAGATGATGAGATCACTAAACAGGATTCTGTAACAATTAAACCAAAAGGGTTTACAATGACTGGAGATATTAATATGGGAGGTAATAAGATAACTAATCTTGATAATCCTACTAATCCAGGTGATGCCGCCAGTAAAAGCTGGGTTGAAGGTAGTCATGCAAGTTTACCTGGACTTATCCTTACAAATGATCTCAATATGTCAACCAATGAAATAAAGGCTTTAGGTGATCCCACAACTGGAAAGTCTGCTGTTAGTAAGGACTGGGTAGTTGGGATGTTAAATAAACCTGTATCTGGACTTGATATTGCTGGTGATATTGACATGAAGAACCATGAGATTAAAAATCTTGGGGACCCCGCTGGGAATCAGTCTGCTGTTAGCAAGGGATGGTTTAATTCAAACACCAGCAACTTCCTTAAGCTGTCTGGGGGTAATAATCAGTTTATCCGAGGTAGTGTTCTATTTGATGAAGTTCCACATACAAGTAAAGATGCCTCCACTTCTAGCGGCCTGATAAGAAGAGGCTTTCTGGATAAAAATCTGGCCTATTACGTTCATCGTAACGGTTTAAATACAATGACAGGTGATCTTAGGATGAGTGGACATGAAATAGTAAATCTTAAGGATCCAACTACTGACCAGTCTGCTGTTACAAAAAAGTGGGCCACCGATAATAATTTTGTTAATCTTGGAGGTCGTATGTTGGCTGATATATCAATGGCTGGATACAGACTTTTCGGACTACCTGACCCCAGGATTGATAATGAAGCTGTTTCAAAAAAGTGGGTGGAAGATAAAATTAGCGGTGGTAGAAGAAAGCGTGAGACTTACAGTGGACTGACCCTATCTGATGACCTTGATATGGGTAATAATGAAATAATAAAATTAGGTGCTCCAACTACTGATAATTCAGCTGTGTCAAAAAAATGGGTCACTGATCACGTCAGTGGAAGCTCAATTAGTAGTAGTGGCTTTAGTATGACAGGTAATATTGACATGGGTGGTAACAGTATTACGGGTCTTGATAGTGGCTCGGTTGGGGACTCCGCTGCAGTTTCCTATAAAGCTATGAGCTCTTGGTGTAAACAATTTCTAAAGCGTGACGGTGGTGTTTTAGCAAGTAATCTTGACGTTAACGATTATGAGTTAACAAGGGTAGGTAACCCAACGACTGACGGTTCTGCTGTTAATAAAAAATGGGCAACTGATGAGTTCATGAGTAGTAGAGGTGGACTGGTAAAGGGTGATTTGGATATGGGAGATTCAAGTGGTATTCTTGATCTAAGGGATCCGGTAAATGATAAGGATGCAGTTAACAAG